GGATGTTTAAGAATACACATCTAGAAAGGAAAACATCAAAATGGACACTGACACAATCTGAAGGAAAGGAAAGAATTTATTTGGGGGACCCAAAGGTCATTACACACAGGATGTCCACTAAGGGAAGGGTATTTTCACTCAGATTCTTACATTGAAATAATCAGCCATTGCTGGTGTTATTTCTGACTCCAGGTAGTATGTCTGTTGGTGTTTGTGAATATTGTTGAGTCTGGACAGATTACATCAGTTCCTCTTAGTGTGCATCTTCCTCCAAGCATGTGTGGACCTGTGCCATGCAGGTTATTTCTCTCAGATTCCAAATAATAGCCTTTTCTCTCACCTTGAATCCCTCCTGCCCCTACCCTGAATTCTGAAACCTGTAATGAACTGAGGGAGAAGAAAGGGCAGAAAAAAAGGAAGCGCTTATGAAGCTTAAACTTTTGTTTTTTGAAATAACAAATGAAAAGAAGGTCAGTTCAACTATTGTAAGGTTGCTTTCCTTCTATTATTAACCTTTAATTTCCTTAATCACCCCTAAAAGAAAGGGTTACTCCTTCCATAGTTTTCCAAAGTTATCATGTCTGCAAATATCTAGCCTATAAAATTAGCTTTGGCCCCACCTGCTTCTCATGCAGATTAACCCCACAGACTGCCTGCACATCCTACTCAGACAGTGCGCAGCCTCATCTGCTGCAGCTGACACTTTCTGTGTGCCCCCCACCCCCACCTCCACTTCAGATTCCCAAGAGAACCAATCAAAGCGAGAGAATGTCAGAGCCAGCAACCTCTGGTCTTTAGGGCCTCTGTTCAGCTCAGCAGTATCCATGGGGGATGTCTAATGTGGTCTAAGGGATAGGCAAAGAAGATTAAAAAAAAGCAATTGAGAAACACAGAGAAACAGAATAAGGGGAGTGATAGAAATATAAAGAACAAAGAAAGAAATGTTACCATTCTGATGGAGGGGGACTAACTATGATGGTTTCACAGAGCTTCTCAGTAATCCCTGGACTATAATTATCCCTCAGGTGTTCAGTTGTACAGGAGCTTTGGACCAGCACTAGAGAACCAGGATTTTAGTATCAGCACAGCCTCTGGTGAGCTGGGTGACTCTGGGCAGAGCACTAGGTCAGTTCCTCATCTTAAATTTGAATCACCTTGAAAATTCTTGAGTTTTAATAGTCCCTCATTCTTTTCTGAGCCTGGGCCTCACTGAGAACCTGTTTTGGAAATGTTCCCTGATATGATATGAGAACCTGTTTATTTTGTTGTATTAGTGCAAAGAATCTGGAAGTGTGAGCGGGGAGACCATCAAAGTGCATCATGTGCATAACAGGACCCTCCTAAATCGAAAGGTTAGCTAATTGGTAAAAATAAGGCTTCTGGCAAGCTGTGAAAACCCTGTATCTTAAGGCCACCAAGTGATATGCCCAGTGCTTGCCCAGCAAGCATCTGTGTCCAGTTCCTCTGCCTCAAGGGTGCTGTGAGGCTTGGTTTCCAGGGTCTTGCCAAGCATGCCGTGAGCCTGGTTCTTGGCACCAGCTGGATGCATCATCTCTCCTTCCACGGTCTTTAATGAAGTGTGCAGCTCTTGTCCTCATTAGGCCCCAGCATCGTCAATAAAAGAGTCAATAAACCCGGTTGATGGGGTTGGGACCGAGGGGCTGAGATGCAGCAGCCGCACATTCACAGGGCAGACGTCAGCTCTGCCGCATGTCGTGACCCAGCATCCAGGGATCAATAACCAACTCGGAATAAAGCCCGAGAGCTGCCCTCTGCAGTCTCCTCTCCAGACCCATTTCACCTGGGGCTGAGCAGTGCCAGCCAGCTCCTGCTTCGCTTGCAGTTGTTCCCGCCCCATGCCATTCTGGGTGCCAGATGCTTTTGTTTCTTCCTGACTGAACCCTCTGAACACCCCATGGATGCATATTTAGTGAGTGCCCACCTGGCATGAGAACATGTAGATGGCATCTCCAAGCAGCCGAGAGGCAAGCACGGGCCCTGTTTTCTGTGTCTTCTGTCTGCTGACAGTGTGGGAGGGGCCCCTGTGGACCAGGTGGTAGTTGTGCTGTGGAGTCCATTTCAGCTGCTCTGCATCTCTTTAGATACCCTTATCTTATCTAATTACAGGGAATTTCAGATGAATTTCATGGCCTTTGCTCCAAAGAACCTCTTATCTGTGAGGGTCTTGTATTTTAACCTTGTCATTCTTTTGTTGTTAGCCTTTAAAGGAGAGATAGCTAAGAAAGGGATGCTAGGATCTTGCTGGAATTGGGTTTGGGGGGAGGGGAAGAAGAGGGAGGCAGACAGACCTGGGACTTGTGTATTCTGCGCCATCCCCCTGCTTGTGTGTGGAGACAGCTGGCTGCTTACTTCCATGACAGCCACATGGTACCCAGCCACACAAACAGGACCCGGGCAGCGACTCGTCTGCTGCCAACCTCTCCAGATCCCTTTGATATTTCCAACAGAGCAGTAAAAGACTCTTGACTATCACATTTTGCCTTGCCTCCCTCCACCTCCTCTAAGACTCCTCAGTGTGGTTTCCATGACTACCCCCAATCAGATTTGGCTTCCTGCAAAATTGGATTTCAAAGAAGGACAAGGCTTCAAAGGAATTTGTCCATTTAACAGAATGTCATTAGGAGTGAGGCTGACTGTTGAACCAGGGTCCTCAGATGATTAAGGAGGGGCTGCGCTCATGTGTGGAGGCAGGTTTCTGTCTGCAATGAGGAAACTTGATGCAACATGACAATGGCGTATTGGAATCTGCCACTCACCACACATTACCCAACTGTGCACCTCCCTCACTCCATCTCTCTACACCCAGAATGGATGTAGAATATCTTTGCCTTGAGTTTCTGCTGCTTCCCTTGGTATAAGTAAGCTATGACAGGCAGTGAGGCCTGATAGGATGTGCAATTACCAGGCTTTATTGCTTTTTATCAAACAACCCTTTAACTTGTAGCCTATTTCAGCATTTGACAAATACCCTTGAAGAAGGGAGGGAGGTTGTCAAACTTCCTCCCACTGTTGAGAGGAAAGCAAGGCAAAGTGCTGTGGTTACATATAGGAGGGACTGTGCTCCCCTTGCTGTTTTTTTAGAACAGTTATAGATTTAAGAAAAATTGCAACTGTAGTACACAGAGCCCCCTTGCCTTTTAACACATGTCATAAGTACTCAAAAATGATTCCAGAGCAGCTACAATTTTATAGAAGGAGCAGTGGGTGTGGGAAAAACGCTCCAGTGGGGAACTGGTCTTACTCTGGAGCCTGAAGGAGGCAGCCTGCTCATGTTAACTTTCCCAGGGCTATGACGCCTTGCAACAGGGGCCAGATTCCCCAGAGACTCTAGCCAGCCTCTGTTCCCTACACTTCCACCACAATTACTGCAACTGGTAGGTGAGTCGTGTGAGTCAAGGCATCATTCCTCTTCAGGTTGAGGCACTTAGATGTATAGATGGCTCAAAGTCGCTGGACCCCTTAAAGGATCAAGCCCCCAAACCTGAAACTGTATCTCTGGAGGCGAAGCTATGCCTGGAGGCAGGAATTGCTTCTAGGAGTCCTTTGAACAGTTTCTCTGTACCCCCATCCCCATATCCACGGTTCTGTCATTATTTCCCCTGAGGCTACTGTAAAAGCCACTTCACCCATCTTCTCTGTTTCCTTTCTCTTACTACTCCCAATCCTTTCCACATATTCTAGTGTACATAGAATCTGATAATAGAAACTATTTTTTACAAAGAAGGAAACTGATAGAGGTGAAGTGAGATGTGCAGGGGCTCAGGTTAGCTCACTCCCCATCTCGAAATTTGTCTGTGGCTCCCAATGTCCACTCAAATGAGTTCAGAATCCTCACTTTCAAGTTCCTTCACAATAGAACTTCAGTTTTTCTTGACAACTGTAATCTCTCTACACCATCCAGAAGCTGTCTTTAAGCAGAAGGCGTTTCCATCTTTGTTTACTCTGGTCCTTCCACCTGCCCCCTTGCCCCTTCAAAGTGTGGTGTCTTCAAAGCCATCTCAAATGACACATGCACCACTAAACCCCACACATATTTCCCTCCTTTTCTTATATTCATCTCCCTCCTTGTATCACCCATGGCACTTTATACTTTTTTCATGATACTTGCCCTATACTTAAAAAAAAAAAAAACACTCCAAGATAACTGTGGATTCACAGAAGTTGTGATAAATAATACAGAGTGGTCCTGTTTACCCACAGGGCCATATCACACCTAGGACACCTGACACCTACATACTCTGAAAGAGAAGGAAGCCCACTCCTGTTATCTTGTCCTTCACTTTCCTCCGTTTTAAACTCTTACAGGGAAAGCACTGGATGCCCCCTCCCTTAGCTTTCTCTCTGGGTTACCGCTTCTTTTTCCTCTCATCCTTTCAGCCTTAGGGAGGAAGGGATACTTTGCCTCCCTGTTTTCATTGCAGCGGGACTGCTTTGATTCTCCGCAAAGTTGGTGACTTGAGATTGTTTATTGGGACTTCTGATCATTCCCTCGAACAGTCCTCGTTTGCCTGACCAACGGTTCTGCCCTGGTTTTCCGGGCTTGGACGCCCGAACTGGGTCGAGAATGACTGCGGCCCGGCCTGGCGGGGACTGACCCTGTCCTCGGATTCCGCCTCCTTACGCCTCATTTCGGCCCCACGGTGGCTTCTCCACCTGCCGGCGAGGCCCGCGGTCCGGAGCTTAGAATGGGGAGTTCCCCGAGGCGAGGTGCTTGGAGTCGCGTCGCGTCTTTGTTTTGACAGGGAATGGGGGCCGCGGGGCGGGCGCCTCCTCCCTGGGGCGCGGGCGTAGGGTCGTGGACCCCGCGCACAGGTGTCGCCGCCGCCCAGGCGCCCCGCCCGCCGCGCGCCGCTTCCTGAGCGCGCCCCGCCCTGCGGCTCGGCCCCGCGGCGCCGGCGACTGAGGGCCAGGTGCCGCCGCAGCCGCCCGCCCGCCCGCCCGCCCGTCCGGCTGTCCGGCCCTCTCCCGCCGCCCGCCACATGCAGGCCGCCGCCGCCCTCCCCGAGGAGATCCTTTGGCTCCTGGAAGGTAACGCCCCGCTGGCCCGGGCGCCGCCGAGCCCGCCGGGAGTCGCACGTGCCGAGCCGGCAGCAGCCGAGACGCCAGCGGCTCCCAAGGCCGGCCTTCCCCGTCGGCTCCCTCCCGCCTTCTAGAACCTCGAGGCTGCTGCCGGAGTCCTGACTCTGCAGAGCCAGCTGTTCACCCCTCGCTCAGGGGTCGCTTTCACTCCTAGTAACACATTTTCTTTTTCCTTAAGGCGTCTCCACCTTCCCACTTAGCCTCCCGGCTTCTCAGCAAGTTCTGGCCGGGTTCAAGGTCCCCGGGCCGCCGTGGCTGGCCTTCACCCTGTCCCTTTCTCTTCAGGACGCCCTGCGTCTGTGGGTTACGCGCTGGCCCCTCTCCAGCCCTGACTCTGCCCCTTCACAGGGGACCCTGACCTTCCCGCTTAGAGCTCCCCACGGTCTCACAGGGCTCTTAGGGCTCATGGGCTCCTGTCGGCCAAGGCCTGGACACCCAGACCTCAGGCCCCCCTTCGCCCGCCTGCAGACTCGCTCTTGCACCTCCCTCTTGCCCTGGGGGATCGGATCCCAGTGTTACATCTCTTCCCTTTCTAGAAGTGCCCCATTTCGGTGTGTTCACCCTCAAACCGTAGAGGCCATCGGTCCTTGTAAGAGTTAAGGCCATACTCAGTAACACTCAACACTTCTCGCTGTAACACTCCAGAGACACTTTTTGCTCACGGGCAAGATCTGCTTGCCTCCCACTTTTCCTGGTGAAAAAGTATTAATAATTTGCTTTTCCTGTAACTGACCTTCCTGGAAGGATGGGGACCTGGAATCTGTGTTTGCATAAGGGTCCCAGGAGGAAACTGCTCAGAATTAAGCCTTTTGGCATCGATGTGACATTTTTGACACATACTTAACAGATGGCCTGTTTTGGGCAGGTCATACTTTTGGCAAGCAGTGTTTTTTTTTTCCCAGTTTCTCTCAATTTAATTGGTTTTATATCTCCATTACCATGTTATCTTGGTATAAATGCCTCCTAATCAAATATTTGGCAAGTCTTTTCAGTCTGTTTGTAGTGCTGTTTCCATTCTGGGTTGCTTCCATAAAAGCTGTCAACTACGTATTTCTTATGAGGTTAAGTTTCCAAAATTTATTTTGCTTGCGACCTGAGTGAATCTAAATTTTCAGAATAGAAAAGTATTTGTGGGGTAAAAGAGCATCATCTGGATGTCTAGAAGGAATCCAGCCTTTCCGTCTGCTGTTGGCTCAGTAATTCCAAATGTAAAGAGAGTCTACTGTGTCTGGTTTCCAGGAGAGAAGGAGCTGTGGCAAAAAGTTTCATTCTGCCTTGCAGTTAAAGATATAAACTGATTCTTTTTATTGATATCTGTCATTTGTTGAGAAGAAACCTGTTTTACAAACTAGTTAAACTATACTTACATTTTGTTTACAGCCTTGATAGAAAATTCCTTTTTATTTTCAGAGGCTTACAATGACATCCACTTCTTCAGCATTTTTGATGTGCAGTTCTTTATTGTTCAAAACTGACACTTTGGTAAACAACTCATTTCTGCACCTGCCACCTTCCTTTAGTTTAGATTATTTTCTTGTTAGCTGACTGTTTTTAATTGAAGTCTTCAGATCTCCTCCTAAAGCAGAACCTTTGTTTGCTGACAAGTAGAGCAGAGTATGAATGGAGATTAATTGCATGTCACATACTTCTGTATCAAACTTGCTGTGTCTTAACAATCTCTGTTGGTGCTCGGGTCTTTGGAATATATAGAACAGTCCAAGATTAAATTCTAAGGAGCTGTGTTGGTTAATGTATTACTTTAAGCCCCCCCCCCCTTTTTCTTAAGTGTGTAATTAGAGTCTGAATCTGAAGTAGAGAGAAAAATGTGAAAGTGGAATTCAACCAATAATTCTATTGAAAAATGTTGGAAGAATATACTTTTGAAAGGTTTGTGTAATCATAGCAACATATTGGTTGTAGGTTTTGTTTTTTATGGAACACACTGTTGTAGACCAACAGAATTATTCACTGTACTACAAATAGTTTGTAAATATTAGAAACTCATAATGGCTGTCAATTTATCATCTGTTGCTGTTTGTCTTCCCCTACCCACCCCCACACACACTTTTTAAGGTTAACTGCTGACAATTAGAAAGTATGTAGGTCCTGATCTCTATATTGTCACTCAGTGGAGGGTGTCATAGGGTGAGAGTGCTGCCACTTTAGTGCTGCCACAGGCTGTGGGGGTGGAGTTTCCACAATGAATTACTACTTTCATAAACCAAGGCATAAGCATTTGCACAGTGATTTAATGCTGGCCATCACAGCCATAACTTTAGCATTTATTTATTTATAACTACAAGAGCATAAATGACAGGGGCGTTTTTTGACATAATGTGTGTGCTTTGAAAAATAAGATATGCAAAGCATTATGAAAGGTTTATGCCAGATTTTGCATAATGAAGAAGGGAACAGAAATGCTGAAGGTCTAAAATTAATTTTGTTTAAGGATAAAATTTTAAACATTTGACCAAGAAACGCCACTCCTAGGAATCTGTGTTACTGAAAGTAAAGAACACGAAGTATATATTTTTGTTTTTTTTAGTCGCTGAGTTGTGTTCAACTCTATGGACTGTATAAGCCCATCAGGCTCCTCTGTCCATGGAATTCTCCAGGCAAGAATACTGGAGTGGGTTGCCATTTCCTTCTCCAGGGAATCTTCCTGACTCAGGGATCAAACCTGCTTCTCCTGCATTGGCAGGTGGATTCTTTACCACTGAATCATCTGGGAAGCCCAAAGTATATGTACCAGGATGCATAGTAAGTGCCCATGGCACTTACTCCCAACTCATGGGAGAAGTCGGGCGATGGTATCTTATGGAATCATCCATCTTATGGAATATTTTGTAACCGTTAAAAAGGGTGAGGTGGATCTTTATATATTGGCTTGGGAGGTGTTGATAATGTATTTTTGAGACTAAAAAGCAAGATGTACAACGTGTAAATAACATACCATTTTTGTTTGAAAACAACCCCCCCCCAAATAACCCATATTTGATATATATTTGTGTAAGCCTAAGAAGGAGTAAGAAAGAATATACACCAAGCTCCTAAATTGGTTCTCTAGGGAAGGGAAAGAGAAGATTGGGGAGAGAGAGGTTATTACTTTTATTTCATACATCTTCATGTTGTTTGAACCGTGACAATGACCAGGTATTACTTTTGTAATCAGGATAAAACCACCAGTAAGGCTATTTAAAAGGAAAAGGAACAAAGGATGAATAGACAGTTGGAGAGGTTCCAAAGGACCATTAATCAGTATTGTGATTGTGCTTTTTTCTTTTTAGTACTAGAGATGTGTGGAAGGTGGGGATTTTTTTTTTCCTTTTTTTTCTCAGTGCTTTCTTGGATTTTGGGCAACTATCAAAGCATATCAAAGCAGTGAGAGATTTCTAGAGTAACTCAGGAATCATCTTCCTCAGATTCTGTCAGGTTTTCATAGAGAAATGGTAACTAGTCCATTTCAGCAAATAAGTACCTTATAGATAAGTAAAGTGAAGGACATTTACTGCCTTGTTGAAAGAGGAAGAAATATTCAGGTCTATTTTCAAATAATCAGGCTTCAGGAGTAGAAGTTATCATTTTGTTTTTGTGTTGTGATAACCACACTGAAGACAAAAACAATGGCGGCGTGCTGACAGTTTGCATGGTCTTTGTTTCACAGATACAAACATAATCAGTTTCTTCCTTGTCTTTCTAATATCACTTTTGAAGTCAGCAGTACAAGAGGCAGGTGTAAAGGAAATAGAATAAATATTTCTTTAGTTCATAATTTGTCCTGTGTGATGGAATGGAGCTTACTGACTTTAATAGGTAATAAGTATCTACAAGGTACCTAAATCCTGCTCAAACATGGATTAGAGCCAAAATAACATCCACAATTCAGCTGCATTTAGTAGCAATTGCTCCATTAATGCTGATTCTGATATGCCTATAGTTACTTGTTTTAAACTTCCTTGGAAAGAAGTCATTAATCATTTCATTCCAGATTGTTCTCCAGATTTGTATTGGTCGATGTAGCCAACCATAAAATCTTTTTCAATATAGTAAAATTCCAACTCTGTGGAACTCGCAGGAGTGAGTTGTGCTGGATAGCTGAAGATGTTCTCTTTAAGCACTATTTTTATTATAAACATTTGTGATCAAATTTTTTCTCAGATTCTATAGAAACTTTTCACACTTCCTCAACCAAACAGTCTGCATACAAGAGGACCTCCTCTGAACACTTTAACTCCAAGTTATAGTGAATATAAATTATCATACTTTATAGAGATATATTAAGTTATTTAGGGATGTTTTTGCCATAGTTGCCACTGGACTGCCTTGTGAATGTCTGTGTCCATTTTATATTTTAATTTTTGTCATTGTTTCCTACAGTTAGACCAGGCCTATCACTTTGTACTGTTCTCAGTGTATCTGTATCCCCAATGCTCTAGAAACATTAGATAGTTAAGTTCATTGGAATTAAGATATGTGTAAAAGAAAATACGAAGTTCTCTCTTGATGAACGTGGTACCCAAACTTTAGGTCTGTACTTGGCGACTTATGCACTGGCTGCTAACAGTCTTTTTTGCTTAATTTTTTTATACTGGGTTGTCTTCTGGATAAATGGCAGTACTGTTTGGCTAAATTCTGAAATGTATGTGATTATACTTCTATTTCTTTCTTTTTTTTTAAAACTAATTTTTGTTTTTGGCTGTGTGGGCCCTTCATTTGTGATGCTCAGGCTCTCTAACTGTGGGGCACAGGCTTAGTTGTCCTGCTGCAAGTGGGATCTTAGTTCCCCAGCCACAGATTGAACCCACATCCCGTGTATTGGAAGGCAGATTCTTAACCACTGAACCACCAGAGAAGTCCCTTATTTCTTTTTTATGCTAAATTTTTTGGTTATAAAAATAGTATTGCTCATGTAGAAGATTTAGAAAACAGTCACCCATTGGAGAAGGAAA